CGTCAGGAAAACAGACTTCCGCCGACCACAAATCACACCCCCATCATGCGGCCCACTACTTGAACGTGGGTTTAAGATTTATATTTTAAAGAAATGCCTATTGCATGCGAGTCAAAATTGCATATGCTTATCTTAGAGTTATAGCGGTCTATACGATGTTTAGTTTGAACTGATTTCAATAGACCAGTTTTGCTGGCTGTAAAAAAAATTGTGGGTGGGCAAAGAATCTGAGACGGTATATGTTGAAATTATAACCAAGCATGCCAAAAGGAACGTGGCATTTTGTCTGCGCTCGACGTGTAGCCGCATAACGTGTCGACAACTGTCATCGTAAGATTAATGTGGGCATTGCAGTAATAGTGAGTCATCTACTGCGCTGTTCGAAACAAAGTAACAAACCATGTTCAATCAAATAAATGTGATATGCCCATTTTGGGTGAAATATGTCATCATCATGTCCATATATGGGTACATCACATCACAAATTTGTCACATAAAATGGTCAGAGCTTAAGGGGTGGTAGCATCATCAGTGGTGCAGGCTTAAAAAGCTGTGCAACTTATTAGAAGCGTGTGTGTGCTTAGAAAGAGCGTATCGCGCGCGTGTGTGAGATCGGCTGCGCGTTGCTATCACTGTTATGGAGTTGAATATAAAATTGTTATCGATTATTATTATTATTATTATTATTATTATTATTATTATTATTATTATTATTATTATTATTATTATTATTATTATTATTATTATTATTATTATTATTATTATTATTATTATACCCACAAAGACTTTTAAACGTGACCATTTCGGTCCTAAAATGAAAGAATGCTTTATGGCTTTGTGGAATACGGTATGTTTACGGTATCTCACTAACTTTCCGAACTACAGTATCGGCACACAAAGCAAACACCTTACGAAAATCTTGGATAGACCAAGTGCACTGGCTACTAATAAAATCTTGTCTCAAAAAGAACCAAGACATTCTGTACAATACGATGCGATAAAACATTTGAGATGAGATAATGGTACCTTAAAATTCACTCATATTTGGAGTAAAATATAGCAAATATAGATTATTTTCCAAAGTTGGCTGTGGCTATTGTTACACCGGTTTTAGTGGAAATCCTAATTTTGATTGGATGTTCATGTAGAGATTGTACAATAACATTCAATTAGAATTATCATAAAGTCGTTTAATGGTGTACCAATAGCCGCTGCTATACTGAAAAATACTAAATGCTTAGTGGCTAAACAACAATGGAACCGTCAGTTACTAATGGTAGGCCAAATTTACCTCCAAGTGGCGAAATGTGTGTTTGCTGTTGGTTGGGAAAAGAAATAATTAAAATACATAAATAAATTTAATTTATTTTTTTTCGCCGTATACAATATATAGAAAGCATATACTGGTGAGCTGTGTGAAAATGATGTACATTGTTATTAATTTGAACTGTACAATCAGTCGAATTGGTTGAATAGATGACGTTTGTTTACTGTGAGATATTGGAGGAAAAGTGTGACCCTTGTTCCGGGTCGTATTTGTTCAAAAACATACTCAATTGATTTATTATATCGCTCATAATACCAGTATATGAATGTTACTCGTAAGTCTTGGTTTCAATTTGCCAAGTTATTCCGATTATATCGTGGATTGTTTAATATTGCAGTAACCTGTCTATCTTGTGCTTATGATCTTCAATTAACAAACTGTGTTCTTGTGCAATACATTATACATGCATACACATATAGTACCGGTAGTTAATTTTAACATTCATAAACCATTTATAGCAGAAACTGACAGAAATACAGAATGCAATAACTTTGAAAATGACAATTATGTGTCTGCACGTTTAATACAACTTCTATTGCTGCTGCTGCTACTGCTATATAGCCCTACTACGAATTACGAAATACGAATACACGTTGCTATCTTTTATGAATATAAAAGAAAGTCTACTCCGATCCCACTACTGGTGATGATGATGACAATAATTATGATCATGATAATGGTTCTGTAATACTGTTAATAATGATGATAATAATAATAATAATAAGAATAATAATAATAACAACAACAACAACAACATACAATAATAATAATAATAATAATAATAATAATAATAATAATACTAATAATAATAATAATAATAATAATAATAATAATAATAATAATAATAATAATAATAATAATAATAAGAATAATAACAATAAAGATTTATATGCCGCCAGTGGTGGAGCCCAGCGGGGTGGGGGAGCAGGGGCATTTGTCTTGTCGCGGACAGGCCTGGACCCCCAGTCGTCCGACGCACAACTAAGTCTCGGATCAAAATAATAATAATAATAATTTGCCTATCCAAATAACGTTATTTCGACTGTCAGTCCCTATTATTGTGGTCTAAAAGCACATTTTGGACGATACGAAGCAATAAAAACTCTCCTTGTGAACAGTGGCGTTATAATGCCTACCATATGCGCGCTCGTGCGGAGGTCCGCTGAGCCCCCTACCTCAAAGGGCCCCGAAGGGCTCCATCCATAATATTCTCGATTTAGCACCCTGACTTAAAAGGGATTTGTTGGTACATAACAACATAATATGTCTCTGACATCGACTGTATGATATCATAATATTTCTCTATCCATGTCGGATTAAAGGGGGCCCTGTCGGTCCGGGCCCACCAAAATTTGTCAAGATTTGTTTTTAAAATTGAGAAATTTTAAGTCTGTGAGTGCCATTTCCAGCCATCTAGAGATGCCATAATCATTAATTTTCTTACACCATGTCTACTCCTTACACCATGTCTACTACCTCAGTCCCACCATGGTTGGGGCTGAGGTAGTAGACATGATGGGGCTGAGATAGTAGAATTGGTGACTACCAAAAAAGGGGCCCCAGATTCAGAAAGTCACAGTGTCCCCAGTCCCATCGTTACGCCACTGCCCGTGAACCCCACGAGGTTGTTTTTATTCCGGCCGTCGATAGGAGGCTTCGTCGGCCGCTTGGCTTGGACCCATCCGCCGGACATGGGACCCCTTGTCGGCAAATTCCGGCGCCACCGCTGTATGCCGCTCATATACTTTTAAAGGAATGTTGAAGATGCCAAAGGAAATAAATATCATAAAGAAATATAAGAAACGATAATGAAATGATAATGACAGCGAAACAACGTGGTGTTGGTGTCTTGACAACATTGATGATGGTGGTACTGATGATGACAACGATGATGATGGTGGTGCTGGTAATGACAATGATGACAACGACATGATGATGAAAATAGTATTACAGTATAGACCTATGTAGGCCTAATAGCAGCAACAAAATGAAAATAACCAGCAAATAGTAATAATCAGGCCTACAATATCCGCTGCGCCCCCACCCAATAAAATGACCCGCGTCATAAAAAAAAATCAGCAAACAAATCAAGAGGATTTTAGAGTAAATAATTATCAATACTTATGCCTACATCCTGTGTATATGATAATGCAATATTTACAGCATTACATTGTTAAGCAAACAGTGCACATCGAGGCAATTGTCAGCTGTACTAAAATAACGACTGATAGAATCTTTTATTCACTTTAAGTCATTAAACATTCTATAGAATATTCATAATTAGTCTCGAATATCATAATCTACGGATAGCCAATGAGGTCGCAGCGTTCAGAGTAGGTAATTTCGCGGTGAAACTGTGACGTCACACATTAATTTACGACAGACAGGTAGATAAGATTTTGCAGTTACATGACTTCACTAGTGAACGAGTCAACACGACAACGGTAACACTTGATCATCCAGATTTGCGTCAAAGATGCCTATAACATTGCTCTGGCCACGTAATTAACGTGTTGACAAAAAAATGAGTAAGTAATTTTAGGACATAAGTTTATATGACATTTATACAAAGCGGAAATAATGTCTAATTAATTGAAATTAGTTGTAAGATGTAATTTATAAACATGTACTTTGTGACTGATTTCGCGTGATGTTTGAGTTAGTTGCGAATTGAAAGGAAAATGTATTGGTGTCGTATAAGTAACTTTGTCGATTGTCACCTTATGGCAGTGGCAGTGTACGGTAGCGTCTCTTTTATATAATTGCTTTGTATTTGTACACATCAAGTTGGTGTGCTTTCAAGATATTGTTTTGCTTTCTTAAAATATAATGCTTAATTTTATGACCTCCATTTTTTTCAAAAGGTGAAAATTAGTGCCAAAACAATACTTCCTGCGATGTGTAAAAATCTGTGCAGGCACGATGTTTTCATAATTTTTTACAATTTAATGAATTTGTGAAAAATAACCGTTGAGAGAAAACGAAAGTGGTGATTATCTGCATAGTTACTTCTAAGCTCCGAACTAGCTTTGAGGTAAAAAGAACATTATGCCCTGGGTGAGGATCGTGTGTGCACTCGTCAGAAGTAGCATATTTTTTACGTCTGCTGTAAGCGTACTTCAGGCTGAAGGCCGGCTGAACATGGCTATATACTATCATCATTTACAGACATTTGTTTCATAATGTTCCTAACATCTGGTTTATAAGGCTTGGGGTGCTCATGACCGTGTATTAAAAACCGGGCACTTACTGCGTCGTACGACGAATCCAACTCCGATCCCTGTGAACGATAGACGACGCGACGCCGTTTGCTGATTGTTGGTGGCAGTACAGTGATGATTCGTTGTGTTCTCCAAAGAATCGTGAGTGATCGTGAGTGCACGGCTTTAGGGGCCTGACGACGGGGGACCTTTCCTATCACTCTATTTTATATCTATTTCTATCCATCCTGTTATACTCCTACATTGGAGTCTTATGGAGGTCGACTTTATATATATCAAAACCACAATGAATACTTTTGAGAATGTGACGATTGTGTACAATGTTTAATCCATCCATTGTGTTTTACCGTCCAAGATAATCTGAAATTTTACGTAGGCTCAAGTACCGTAATTCAAATGATCAAATAATTACAGTACCCTCTCTTACCAATCATATTATTCTCTATTTTCAGATCATTTTCCGTATTATGTGGGTTTAGCTGCTGGTGGTGTAACCTCGCTCCTTCTCTGTGTTTGCGTTTGCTGTTTCTGGATGTTGTATAAGAAAAGATGTAAAAACAAGTATATCAACAAGAACGTAGAAACCGCTAAACTAATGATATCACCTAAACGACCGTACAACACGCTCTTCCGAGGAGCTGAACCCTATAAGGTTCGTCCACAAGAGAACGTCATCGATTTATTACCCGTTACTGAGAGTAATCCACAGACAGTGTTTCAGAAAAGAGGAGAAACACGATCACAGTCGGTATGTGCCGCTACATTCTACATGGACGAGTACATGCTAAATAACCGCAACGTGAGTACTTCCGATCCATATTTATACAACAGGCGCTCTTCCGACGAAAGCTTACAATCGAGACGCGTACGTACGCTCTCTGGACGTAGTAGTTCACCGAGGAAGCTAAAACCCGTGATACATCTGAACACAACGTACAGTTCAGAAGAATCGTCTTTCGTCGTGAGGGTACGAAATGTCGCTAACCTTCCGCCTAAATACGGCGCAAACTGTTGTAGTTTCGTACGGATTTTTCTTTTGCCAAAATATCCAGACCATTTACAAACGCGCGTGGTCCGAGGAAGCTTGGACCCGAAATTTGGAGAATATCTTCGTTTTAGAAAATTGACTTTTGAAACTGTATGCAAAAGCTACCTTCGATGTAAAGTGTACATAAAAGAATTGTGGGATAAAAAGGATACATTTGTTGGGGAGGTGTTCATGCCATGCATTGAGATGACCCCTCGACCGGATGAGACTACTTATCATGAGGTGATGCTAAAACCGGAACGAACCAAGATGAACCCCGTAGGCCCATATTTACTATACACATGGTACGGTACGTTAACAACTACAAATTACTTCAGATTTATAAAACGATTCGGACTTGCTGACGGAAAATTGGGTGACGTACTAGGAACGCGTCAACAGTTCACAAATATAACAGAAAAGACACATCCATCTTCATGATTCTTGAAAGGAAGGCTAGCCAACAATCAATAAAGAAGCGCTTTAACAAACAAGATAATGAGAATCAGAAGGAGAATATCAGAGAAATGAAACTGCTGCATTGGTAACAGGTGACGACATATTTATGTTTTACTACACTTTACATTCGTAGCGGTTTCATTGCATTTACATTCACGACGTTAGTATTCACCGTTACTTAAGTGAAGGCGAAAATGTGATTAACAATGGATTTAATTCGCTCAAATTAAATGTCATATTATTTTGGATTGTGCTCTTCGGATCATTTAATTTTCCAAAATTAGAACAATATTGATTTACTTGCAATTCAGAAGAAAGGACGGACTATTTTTATCCTTAATATTGCAGTGAGGTCTAGATAGTAGATAATATGAATTATCATGTTGAGGAGGGTTCTGTATTTATTCCCATAATATAATTATTTTGTTTACGTTATCGAAGGTTGACGTCATAGTCGTGGATTGGCGCTTTTCAGTTTTGCTTACACCGCAAGCCAGCACTGTGTAGACGCTCTAACTTTTATTTCACTTTCTATGCGATCAGACCGTGGATTTAATTTTGTTCTTTTTAATAGATGTATTTATAGAAGCTGTCTCATCGATATCACGAACTCATCATAGGCTGATTATGAGAATGGACCTTTTCGGAGAGAGTGGTTTACATTGGGGTGTTTACTGCTTAAACACAATAACGTCCAAGGGACAGGGCTAGCAAAGTTTGCGTTCACATGTACCGACATCCAGTCGATTTGTCAGCTTTTATTTATCACCATAGCAACCGTCAACTTATCCAGCGTTTTGTCGTCCGATGACTTGCTTTAGATTGATATGTTTCACAGCTCAATAAAGTGTTTAGTAATAGATTTAAATATAGGCCTAACACACTTGAATGATTGATCGATCTACGTAGCCTAAGTCAATTTCATTAATATATATTGCTTGTTGCATAAATCTCATCTGAAGCAGTGTATGGTTTATTTTGAACAATATACGACGCTAAGAATAGGATACTAGTATAACTCTCTAAAAATTATCTTCGTTGAGGTTTTAGACCATTGTGATGATTTCCATTGATGTTACCATAGTTAATGGGGAAATAATATTCACTTTTTATAAATTCATGGTAACTTTGTTTTGCTTGTCAATAGATGGGAATTTGTGTTAGTAAATTAACTATTCTTTTAGCTTATGAACTAGGCCCTATGTGATACGTGTTATGTGTGTTAATGTGTTACGGTCAGATCATGATATGTTTTAGTACTGTATATGATACAATATGATTATGTATAGTAGGCCTATGTGTTAGAATGGTGGTAATTCTACTAATTAATGCTAACCGACGGCATTAGGCTATATGGCGTCAGAATAGGCCTACAATTTAAACCAGAATTAGGTACCGTACAATATATTTGTAGAAATCGAATACGATGGGTGCAATTACGGTACGTGTCTCGTGTTAAGATTCAAAATGTCGTTAATGCTATATTCTGGTGTTAATGCGCTTAATACTTCACGAATCGGGTCACATAGCAGATATATAGGATTCGTCTCTGAACCTATATCAGAAGACGTTACCATAGGAACGATGATGCTTGTTTCTCTTCCCAGCGAATAGAATCGTTTGGTATTAGTTTTAAAGTTCCCCCTGACGATTGAGTTGCTAAGCGACACAATCGCAGCAGACCGGACAATTACTATGACTGTACAGTGTGTGCGTCACAGCGCACCTGAATGCGCTGTATTCCCGTTTAATGACTTATGAAATAGGCCTCACTGCTTGCAGCATTTCTTAATATCCACATAATATTTTCTGCGGGTTAAACTTTGTGAGACAGTGCACTTTCGAATACCATTCTCTGGATTTATGCTTATTCTAGTTTTTGAAAACAAATCAAAATGTAACGGTCAATGCCATTATTTTGTTGTGCGGAATGTAACAACAAACAATCGTGTACTGTGCGTACAAAAAAAGTATCCCCTAAAACACTCAAATGTGCACATAGACATTGTAGAAAACAACACATATAATGATCATTATAAATTGCTGCATAAGTGTACCTGATAACACGTTGGCTAATTTATCTGTCATGTAGGCCTAGTACTCTAGCTTTCACTAAAAACAGGTTCTCTTCCCCATCCCCGCAAGCACGACTTGCTAAAATAAATCTCTCCCCACGCAGTCCGTGTACCACTCTAACTCTTTGTCTTATTCTGCGTGGGCACACGCAAAACAACGATGATTACCGTTAGTTTTCGTGTAGTTACAACTTAATCTGATTTACCTTGAATACTGCAACGTATTTTAGTTCGTATGCGCAATTTACTGATTAACTAAAAGAGTGATATAATATCTATTTACGTATCTCAAAGTCAACATGTAACAGGAGTCGGACACAAAATAGGACTACATGTATTGCGATTTGTAAGGATCGTAGGACTCATGCACGTATAGTTATTAAAGGGAGATGTCCCTGGTTATTATGTTAAACAATTTGATTGTTGTTCCTTATTTCCTTTCTTTATAGATTTGATATTGTTCACTCCCTCTATTCATTTTGGTTGCTTTTAAGCTACTCGTGTTTACGCTCTCATTTATCCTACTGTACGTCCCCATTGATTGTAGGTCCTATTTATACTTGCTATAATAGGATAATTTCTGTTTGTACCGGTACTACGTGATAAAGGGAGATGCCCGAAAACCTCTGGGGTTTTTCTTTCTCATGAAGCCTCAGAATAACTGTGAATTTACATAGCGATATAT